AGGAGTATGATGTTAACTAAGGATCCTCCATCAACAAGGATCATTTTGACAAAGTGGTTGGCGACAAAGAGAGTGATCACCAATCCGTCATGGTGGGGATCCTGGATGTCTTCCCTATCCACTTCATCGAATGTGATTTCCTTGTCATTCGTGACCGATGTATTCTTTTGCGGTCTTTCTTCTTTTCTGTCTTAGAAACTTTGGCATGCCTTTTTGCTGCAGAATAAGAACTTCCACAAATTTCAGAACCTCTGGAGATAACATTAATTACCTTGGCATTTGCAGGAAGGGATCCTGGTTTTTCTAGGATCTTAGGTGGATCCTGATCTTTTTCTTTGGATATTTTGTTTCTTCTTCCTAGGATATATTTGAGATAACCTTTGCTCAATAGGTAGCTAATCTACTTCCTGAGAGCTATACAATTCTCAGTAACATGGCCAAAGTCTTCATGGTATGAAAACCACTTAGACTTATCCTTCTAGCTGGTGGACTTTTCTCCTTTCTTTGGCCACCTTGCTTTGTCACCGATATCCTGCATAACATAGATGATACCTTAAACATCCATAGAAAAACAATAATTAGTGATCTTAGGAAAATCCTCTTCCTCCCCTCCATCCTCTAGGGCATTAACCATGTGATGATCGGGCTTGGAATAAGGTTTTGACTTGTAGGATCTTTGGACCGAGGAGTCGGCCTTCTTATTGGGGTTATCGTATGACTTAGGATGATTGCTTCTTTTATGGATCTCTTTTTCCTCTTCTAGCCTGATGAACCTTAACGCTTTTCTCCTGAGTTCGTCCATCCTTTTCCATGGGGTCATTAGAAGGTTTTCATAAAAACGAGAGTCCTCTTCAAACCCATTTTGAAAGCTTCTATGGTGGCCCCCATATCAATGTTGGGGATAGTCAAGGCTTCCTTGTCGAACCTGTTTACAAAGTCTCTAAGGGATTCCTTAGTATCCTAGATTACCTGATAAAAATCACTAGTGATCTTCTCAAAAATTCTATTACAAGAAAATTGATTGTTGAAAAAGATTAACTAAATGTGCAAATGAAATAATAGAGTAAGGTGGAACATTAAATAGCCATTTTAAGGCTGATCCTATGAGGGTCGAACCAAAACCCTTACATAGGCAAGCTTCCTTCAAATGTGAGGGAATGGGTATGATCACCATTCTTTCCCTATATTGTGCCACATGTTCTTCAGGATTCATAGTCCCATTGTAAGTTTTCATGTTAGGAGTTTGGAAACATTTTGGGACTTCAGTATCAACTATCGCATGAGTAGATCTCGAGATCCTGTAACTGGTGGGAGATGCTTTAGGTATAGGCTGGACTATCCCCGGTACACTTGAAATCATTTGCTTTAACTGTTGGAGTTCTTTGGCCATAATTGGACTTATTCCTGCATCAAGATCCATGGAGTTAGTATGGGTAGTGTTACTATTAAACAAATTACTAGTATTTTTGTTATTAGGTGTATTAAAGGTTTCATCAAGATTCTGGGTCAGAAGAGTTTGGATGCTTGGGTTTATTCTCCCTGTTGGGGTAGCAACAGATGTTGGAATTGTCAATTTTGGTCGTTTCCCTAGGGATCCTGGATTGTCGAAATTCATGATCCTCGGCTGCAAGATTAAAAGTGTCGCCTCCTAAGATATGCGGATCTCTGCCCTTCTCCTCTCCACTTCCTTGATCAGTGTTCTGTTGTCTCTTGTTGCTGCGCCACCTTCAGCCTCAACGTCTTCATAATGTAGAAGAGTTCGTTATTGGAGACCGAGGAAAGAGGATCTTGGGATCCCAGGGATCATGGGGCAACCGGGGGAGTATTCTTCTTTGGTACATCAGAATTTTTCCTCAGGCCAGGCAGCCCGCTTGGAGGAGGTGGAAGATTTTTTCAGAGGGATAATGGGAACCGAGGAGGAAGAAAGGATTGGTTGTGTAGACATGATTTTCGAGGATTACGAACACCACAGCCCCATAGTGGGCGCCAAATTTTTTTGGTCAAAAATCAATAAAATGGATATCAACCGGTGTATGAGAGGTTATGGTGTTGTGAATAACGTGAGTACTGAATTGAGATAAAAATAACACGAGTGGTTTACAAGGAAATCCCTTGATCCTTGGTAGGATCTCCGGCATAAAACCTTGGGAGGTGATAATGATCACCTGCCTTGTATGATCTTATTGATTTGAATATAAATTACTGATATGATGATAGAAATACGATTACAAGTTTTTGCCTAGCTCTAGGTCTATAATGTGTCAAAAGAGTGTGTTCATTGTGTGTGTTTTACAAATATATATATATATATATATATATCATATATATTATATATATTATATATATATTATATATATATATATATATATATATATATATATAGTCTAGGTTAAGTAACTAAAAGTCTGATATTTCTAGGATCTTGTTGAACTGGTATTTGCACGTGCATTAACTTGGTATTTCCAGGTCTTAAGCTTGATTGAAGCGATTCTTCATTGAGAATGAGTCTTATGTTGAATATTTCTACACATGTGGATAATAATCATGAAATATATCTGTTAATTTCGTTAGGAAATAATAATGGCGAAGTTCATGATCCTATATGTTTCGGGATCCTGAGACTCCTTTAAGATTCAGGATCATGGATAGGTTTCAGGATCTTGACCCCTAACACTCATCTTTCAATTAACACAAATTAACAATGTGTGTGATCATTATCACCTCCTAAGGTTTTACGTCGGAGATCCTAGCATGGATCAAGGGCTTTCCTTGTAAACCACTTATGCAATCATATTCAAATTTCCACAAACACTTTACCAACAAACATCACAGCCTCTCATTCAATTTCGGTAACATCCTCTTAGTCGATTTTTAACCAAAACAAAAGGGAAGGGCCTGGCATGATCTCATCGTATCCACCAGTGTTCAACATTTATGATTTTGGGATTGTACTCTGATAACTATTCTTCCACATTGTCATACTTTGATGGTTTGAAATGAAAGATTGATGATTTTTGGTTGATTTAAAAATAGAATTTTTACTGATACAGTTGGACTCCATAAAGTTGGCAACTTTATGGATCCTTGGGGTCCCCTTATGGACATATGTTCCATATTTGAAGTTTAATAGAGTCTTGATGTTATGCATGGAGTTTTGGGTCTAATTTCCTATATTTTTTTACCTAACTTAGGCTCAAGGCACTCATTAGACATCACGCCTAAAAAGCAACAATTTTTATAATGTTTGGAGTGTAGTAAGGCCTTCTAGAGAGTATGAGTGAGTTACTTGAAGGATTAAGGGCTTAATGCATTAAGCTAGTCAAGACAGTTTCCACGACGTGAAGATTTAGCCTCCACGACGTGGCGTTAAGTGGTCTTCGCGACTATTTTGTCGTGAAGTCCCCATGGCATGGCAAATGCTTAGCCACAACGTGGTGACCAACTGATGGACTTTTGATCGTTGACTTTTGACTTTTTTGACCAAGTTTGACTTTAGGTCAATTTGAGGGTTTTGGGTTGTAGTTTAAGAATTGGTCCATGATTGTTTTATAGGTGACGTGTAGTACCAATTTTTGGATTGTGTGAGCTGTGTTGTTATCTGCTAGACTGCAAGGTGAGTTTTCTCACTATACTTTTTATTGCATTGTGTATACTTGTGTGTAGGATGTTTGTATGTTGTTGTGATCTGTTAAATTGGTAGATTTTTTATGATTACCTGTATTGTTGGTTATTGTATGTTTGTTTGTATATGTTGACATATTATGGTTGGTTGGGTTGAGGCGGTCTTGCCTTGTGTTGTAGGCCAAGATACACGGGCGGTCCAGTCAGACTGTAGGCCCAAAGGAGCGGTCCATCTACTGTAGGCCTTGCGAGGTGGTCCAGTAGACTGTAGGCTCAGTGGAGAGGTCCAGCTGCTATAGGCCTTGTGAGGCGGTCTAGTAGATTATAGGCTTAGTAGAGCGGTCCAGGCACCATGCAGGCCTTGAAAAGCAGTCCAAGTAGACTGAATGGTCATGTGTACATGCATTGTATGTGTATTGTTATATGAGGTATTTCGGGGGAACTCACTAAGCTTTGACTTACAGTTGTGGATTAAATGTTTTTCAGATAGTTATCGGATGGTGAAGACGGGGTTGTACACACGCACATCAGCTATTTCATTATTCGAGATTCCGTAATGTTTTCCTTATACTCTAATTTTGAATTATGATTTATGAACAAATGGTTTGACTCGAAAGTAACTTCATCAAAACGGGTGTGTATTCTCTTTTAAAAATGAAAATTTTTACTATGGTTTTTGAGATGTTGCGCCTCCACTTTGAACTTTATAAATTGTCAATTCTCTCCCTCCATTTTCAAAACTTTCATTTGTATCCTCTATAGTCTATGTTTCGACATGAATTTTTTTTTTTATGTTTTCGTGATTATTTTTATGTACGCTATGAGTTTAGTATAGTACATTTTTGATTTTTTGAACTTACTTGTGTTAACTTGAAAAAAAAAACCTTACTTACTTTTATATACATCTTGATATAAATTCAGTTCCTTTACGTTTATGTTCTTATTTTTATGTACATTTCATATGTATGAATTTGATCACATATAATATATTTTCATTCGATGATATATATTGGAGTTAGTCATACCAACAAATACAGCGATATTTAACTTTTATCAATACAATCATCAAAATTCAACTTACAAAAAGGATTTACAACGGCGCAACATGGATCCTTGTTATAATAGGAAACACAACCAAAGTCGTAAAGGCCTGGTACCAATTTCATAGTATATGTTTAAAATCGGGTAAAGATCCAAACCCAAGTCTAAATGTCCAATACTCTTACTCTTCAGTCTCCGGTTCACTCCTCCAGTCTCCATAATGACCCAGGCCCAATTGGTACATATTAATACAAGATGTACCACATGCTTCGTCATTTGTACATTTCTGAGATTTTCCATTTACGTGTGTCCGGTGGGTGCGAGCCATAACAAACAGAATGACCACCGCACATCTCTCGGACACCATTATCCGGCCAATTTCCGGCAATTACGTCGCTAACCGGAGACTAAAACCACCGAAAAACTCAATTTTCTTCATCAACCATTCCAGAAACAGAAGCTTAGTGTATAATAGAACTCATACAACTCGCATTAGACTGAGTTTAGTAGAACAAATCCCGCCAAAATCCTCGAAAGTCGACGTTGAACAGTTGGTGAATTTTTTGTATGAGGACCTTCCACATCTATTCGATGATCAAGGAATTGATCGGACGGCTTATGACGAACAGGTCAAGTTTCGGGATCCGATTACGAAGCACGACAGTATAAGTGGATATTTGTTCAACATCTCGATGTTGAAGCTGGTGTTTTTCCCCCGATTTTCAGCTCCATTGGGTCAAACAGGTATCTAAACACATATAAATTTAACGCAATTGCATAATTGGGCATTAATATCAGGTTTTAATTGCTAAGTACGCATTGATTCTGTAGTAAATCTGAAATAAACATCATTCTATATCAAACTTTGAACTGACAAGAGTAATTTAAAGTGACCTCTTTGTCTCTGAACTCAGAAGAGTAATCCCAATTTTGAAAAAAGGAACAATAAAATCACCAGTAGAAGTAATTGGATCTTCTCTTCTTTGTGTATAGACAGCACCTTACGAGATAACTACAAGGTGGACAATGGAAATGACATTCTCGCTCCTACCATGGAAGCCATTGTTGGTTTTTACAGGAACTTCGGTTATGGGCATCAATCCAGAAAATGGAAAGTTCTGCAGTCATGTGGTACACTCACTTTTCTCCCCTACTCTCAAACACACATCGTTCTTGCAATATTTATCGCTTCATTAGCTTCTTTTTTATCAACTTCACAGGACTACTGGGATTCTCTTAAGAACAATGAGTACTTCTCTATGGAAGGTCTTGTGGATCTAATAAAACAGGTATCTACATTTTTCACTGTTTATACTTTATTCATACACTCAAAGATTCAGCGTCTGTTTCTCTTTTGTTTCATCCATACAGCTTCGGATCTACAAGACTCCAGATTTAGAAACACCCAAATATCAGATACTCAAAAGAACTGCAACTTATGAGGTTTGTTGATCCTTTGAGCTAGAAAGCATGCTAATTCAAGAAAATATAATTTAATCCGCTTAATCACATTTACTAAAAGTGATTATCCAGGTTCGAAAATACACCCCCTTTGTAATTGTTGAAACACAAAGCGATAAGCTTGCTGGATCTACAGGATTCAATGATGTAGCTGGGTGAGTTTCCAGTTATTCTAGCGAGTTTTTTTACCCAAATTTACTATCTTGTCCTTTACCATATTTGATTTGGGTCATCAAGGTGTTCCCATTTTGTTACTATGGAAGGGTATTTAAGACAATTCAGTCCTCACCGATGTTAATAGATTGAAATTTACACACTTTTCAGGTATATATTTGGGAAGAACTCAAGAGAGGAAAAGATAGCCATGACTACTCCGGTTTTCACTCAAGCATTTGATTCTGAAATGTCCAAAATGTCTATTCAAATTGTTATTCCATCGAATAAAGACTTGGGAAGGTAAATAAAGGGTTGTTTGGTAACCTCTGAATGATTCAGAGCCATGAATGATTTAGAGGCTCTGAATGAAAACATGTGGGTAAATGACCATTTTACCCTTGTGTCTAACTGTTTGTTTTACGTTCTCTAGTTTGCCGAATCCTAACAAAGAAGAAGTTGGTTTGAGGAGCGTTGAAGGAGGGTTTGCTGCTGTATTAAAGTTTAGTGGTAAACCAACAGACGATATTGTTCGTGAAAAAGAAAAATTACTGAGGTCTAGTCTTCTTTTTGATGGTCTAAAACCTAAAGACGGATGTTTATTAGCAAGATACAATGATCCTGGTCGAACCAAAAGTTTTATGATGGTAAGCTCTTTTTTCGATGCATTGAATAAAAACTGTTCAGTTCAGTTATTCTTCCAGCAACCCTACACACTAGCCTATTAGGTGGCTGATTGTTGTTACATATTGGTAAAATTCGCATATTGTTTCTTTATCTATGTTTTATAACAGTAACAACAATATGATTTCTTTTTTATGAATTTTGGAATGAAGAGGAATGAGGTTCTGATTTGGCTAGAGGAATTTTCGTTGGACTAGTGTGGTTGCCTTCTCGTCTTGGAGGATTGATGTTTACAAGATTTTGTATGTTGATGAAGTTTGATGCAATTCGTATATTATGCTCACATGTAAAAACAATTCGAAAATGAATATATTGTAGCACTAGAAAAGTGATTATTTTCATATTTATTATATTCTTTTGTGATATAATTAGAAATTTTGCTTCGTTATACAAATATCATCTAAATACAGAGTAAATTTTATTGTTACAGTCTAATAAATTTCCATACATTTATCCAAATACAAAATGTGCTTCATGTTATGCTAAAACTTGGAGGATTTTCAAAGTACAACACCATAGCAAAAAGATAATAAAAAATACAATGGTATAACGCGAAGCAAAAAAAACAAAATAAAACAAAAAAAATGTATGATGCTCTAAAATGCATAAGTGAATTCAAGTACATTGTCATTTTTTGCCTTCATCCATTAAAGAAGTTATCACGGCTTTCATTTTGTTGCCAATCGAAGATTGGTCACAAAATTTTATAACCAAAAAACAAAATTTAGATCTTCACGAGGCGAGATAAATCAATTCATGGCATAAAGCTTGAAAGTGTAAAAATTTTAGTTGCATTTATTACATGGGGCAAGATTTCTAAAGCAAGTTTCAATGAGAAGAACAAGAAGGGCGTTCACGAATTTTGCACAAACCAAAAATCAAGAACAACGAGTCCTTGCTTCGCCTTTTCCTTGGTGGGACAAAAAATTTCAATTTTTTTGTCTCACAGTTCAATCCATGACAAACACAGTAAGTACACAAGGCACCATTTCTAACAAGAACACAAGAGTAACCAACAAACACAGCCTCAAAAATGGAAGCAAAATGAATTCATCATAATCCTAAAACAAATACCCCAAACCTCTTTAGATTAGACATATGATGAAAACAAAAACAGCCATTGACACCAACTATTAACTAGAATTAATCATATCACTAAAATTGTGTTCTACTCTTTAGCCGATTTGTTGATGAGTGATTTGTGGATATGAGGAATGACTCCACCACCAGCTATGGTTCCTTTGATCAGAGTATCAAGTTCCTCATCACCTCGAATTGCAAGCTGTAAATGCCTTGGAGTAATACGTTTCACTTTAAGATCCTTACTTGCATTCCCAGCAAGCTCCAGAACCTCAGCAGTCAAGTATTCCAAAATCGCTGCAGAGTAGACCGCTGCTGTGGCCCCCACCCTCCCGTTGGCAGTCGTCCTTTGTTTCAGTAACCGATGAATTCTCCCAACCGGAAACTGCACTTCACACATTCACCATCACAACACATGATAAGACAGAACAGGTTGTACTGTGTCTGACATGCATTTGACTTTGCCGCAACTAATGTCAACGCAACAAAGATTGTAAAATTTTTGTCCCACACAAAATGTGGAAAAGAAGGTGAGACAAGGACTCGCTCTCGTCCCTTGTATGTGTAAAAGACGTAAATGCCCTTCTCATCCACATCATCAAAAATAGCCCTAGAAAGCTTGTCTTGTCCTGCCCAGTCCGGTCTCTTTTGACAGATGCAGCCGAAGGCTGCATTTGTTACATGGAATAGGACTGGAGGAGATTGGACAAGCTTTCTAGAGCTATTTTCGATGATGAGGATGAAAAGGGCATTTACGTCTTTTACACATACAATAGATGAGAGCGAGTCCCTGTCTCGCCTTCTTCCACATTTTTTTGTGAGACAAAAATTTACAATCTTTGTCCTATTCGCATCGCTCGAGGTCAAAGTTCAATGCAGGTCAAACATGAAATTTCAGATTTCACAGTTTGATCCCAGCTAAAATTCTAATAATCTTCAAGATACAGGAAAGTTATACAACAAATAACTATAAATTCATTATATTTCTATCATAATAAAGTTATTATAGCTAATAGTATAATCATAAAGATAGTTCATTGTCTATACATAAACAGGTAGGTGTAAAATCTGACAACAGGACATGCAGTCGTCGTTAGTAGATTATTAAATCTAATTTGTTAGGTGAGGAACAGTAGTAATCATTCATTTTCGTTGGTCCAACCAAAAAAAACTTTCCAGGACCCTTTTTTTTTAGCAAAACTAGGGTTTATACACGATGAAACAAAATTAAACAACCATAAGTGAACCAAACAGCATTCATAATCACTACTCGATTACCTAAAATCTACAAATCAAGAAGCAATTACGAACAAAAGTTGATATAAACACATAAAACATAACGTTACATCCAAAATCATAGAGATTACAGACAGAAACACGCACCTGGAGACCTGCGCGAGAAGATCGAGAGGTAGGTTTCTTCTTATCCTTGTCTTTATCTTTGTTGAGGGCGGCATTCTTGCCCATAATCAAACCTTTTGCTCCTTTGCCCGACATTTTTCACTCGACGAAGAGGAAAATGGAGTTTCGGGTGTGAAATTGAAGGGAACGGAGAGGGATTTTGACAGAGGGAAGGAGGAGAAATGGCGAATCGGAAGACGGTCGAGTTGTGTTTATAGACGCAAAACAAATGACAATGCTTCGGTTCCACTCTATTTCATTTAAGAAAAATTACACTTCTATCCTTATACTATAACACGTGTACAGGTTTGGTCCTCACCTTAAATATGGATAACGAATTAACGATTTCAAGAATTTTCAATTTTATTCGCAGATAAACTTTTTTTCGTGTTTAATTTACCCATAAATTATTTAAAATTGTTCATATTTTATCTTTTATGACCGTTTACAACCGATTATAAGAATAAAATGTAAACACTTTCAAATAAGTCATAAGTAAATTAAACACGGAAAAAAAAAGCTCGGATGAACAAAATTGAAAGTCTGTTACTTTTTCAAATCATTATCCATTTTACGAAAAGTCAATAAATCGAAAATATGTTTAGTGCTTTTGAAAGTTGTTTTTCAAAACCTTCATTAGGAGTTTTTGAAAACTCACATCCTCCATACTTTTTAAAAACGATTATGACTTATTCACCTAAAATAACTATAAAATGACTATAAGCTAATCCAAACATTTAAAAAAAATAATAAATAAACAAAAAAAACCCTTATTAACTTACATATAATCCAAACATTTTTTTCATCATATAATATAATAAACACTTTTATCAAAAATGTTTATTAAGTTAAATAAACTTAATAAATTGAAATTTTGATGGTCTTTCAAATGTCATTTCTAAAACAACATGAAATCTTGATGTATCCATCTTATAAATAAGTTTGTGTCTTGTTATCCTTTAGTGGAATTTTGTCACCAAACATTCGGCTTGGATACTTAAGTTGCAACGTCTGGTTTTTGGTCATTTCTTAATTTAGGATTTTGGGTCGAAAGTTGATTATGAAAAGGTTTTGGGCCTTAAGGAAGATAAGTTTAGACCTTTTTAGAGGTGATAACGATAGTTGTGAGATTTAACTCTTGAATTGTATTTTGAGTCGAATAGTTGAAGGGAAAAGTCATAGACCGGGTTTCTTGCATGAATTAAGGATTTTAGATCGAGAATTTTTTAGTCCAAAATAACTACATAAGATTGTGGGGCTCTCCAATACTTTTCTGTGCATATATAGAACACCAAAATCGGATTTGAATCGAAGAAGTTGTGATGGTTTGAAATTTGTGTTGAAATTTGAAGCATGGTAGTATGTTGGGCATGGGAAACGGGAGATAGGGCATGGGAAATGAGAGCTCGAGGATATGGACACGTAACATAATAAGGGATAATGACTTGAAAGGGTAACGAACTTTCAATTTTGTTCACATTTAGTCACTAAATTTTTTTCGTTCTTGTTTCACCCATGAATTATTTAAAAATGTTCACGGTTTACCCTTATGACTGGTTGTAAACGATCGTAACAGTAAAATGTGAATAATTTCAAATAATTAATGGATAAATCAAACACGAAAAAAAAAGTCCACTAATATGAATAAAGTTCAAAGTTCGTTACCCTCTCAAGTCATTATCCCTTAAGCATAATACACTCTCGAGGAAAAGGTTTCACCATTTTAGTAAGATGCATTTAAACATCACGTCACCAAGCAAAGAGGAAAAAATGTTTATATCAAAATGGATGTTGGCATTATTCAGTTTAATCATTTTAGATCCATAAAATGTATTGTAAATTATTTAGCCATTTTATTAACTAAACCAATAAAATTGTTATATTTGATGGTTAAAAGTTATGTTAAGATTGACTGGGCCATTTATTACAAACTCAAATGTGTAACGTCCTTTTTTTTTACCCTTACGACGGTTGTAGACAGTCGTAAGGGTAAAATGTGAACAATTTTAAATAATTAATGGGTAAATCAAACTCGAAAAAAAAGTTCAGTCACCAAATATGAACAAAGTTCAAAGTTCGTTCCTCTCTCAAGTCGTTATCCCTTAAGCTTAATACACTCCGCAGGAAAAGGTTTCACCATTTTAGTAAGATACATTTGAACATCACGTCATCAAGCAAAGAGAAAGAAATGTTTATATCAAAATGGATGTTGGCATTATTCAGTTTAATCATTTTAGATTCATAAAATGTATTTGTAAATTATTTAGCAATTTTATTAACTAAACCAATAAAATTTGTTATATTTAATGGTTAAAAGTTATGTTAAGATTGACTAGGCCATTTATTACAAACTAAAATGTGTAACATCCCATTTTCACATTTCATGTAGATTTTAATATAAAACGTTTGTTATAAAATTTGAAATATAAATGTATTAATTTTTAGCCAAAATAATCATCATGAAGATGTAGTAGGCGTCAATACGATTCCATAGATATAAATAACGCTTAAACCTGACTCCGTATGAGGAAGTTATGATTTTTCAAAGTTTCGATGCGACATAGTAAAACATTGTGCGATACAGAAATCGAAATTAAAATCGGTTGATTGTAAGCCAAAAGAATGTGAATGAGAGTTGAAGATCTCGTAAATACGTATCCGTCGATATAAAGATAGTCAAGAACGGAGTTCGTATGAAGGAGTTATGATTTTTCGCATGGATTTTAACAGTGTAATCTCTATAAAAATATGAATTTAAAATAGAGTAAAAATTAATTGTTGAGATCTAAAGAAAATTTATAGTGCTCGAAAATACCTACGTGTGAGTATAAAGAACGTCAAAAATGGAGCTCGTATGCAAAAGTTATGATTGTTCAAATATTTCGAGTTTTACCTGCGCAAACGATGACATGTTACCACTCGGAGGGGGGCATGTGACATGACTGTTTACCAATCCTCGGAGGTGATAGGACACCACAAGATCTTGACACGTGGCTCCATGGTTTCGCAACACGTGGCACCATTATAATTCGGCATGTGGCTCAATAAGGGCCAAAACTCTTAGATGATGCGGATCCACCTAACATCATACACACCGGGCGCAGTGCGCCTCCCATTAGTATATATAGATGACTGAAATTGCTCATTTTCTCACATTTTCAATCCTCTTTCTCTCAAACCTTTCCCACCTCTTGAGTCTGATTTCCCTTAGTTAGTTGGAGTATTTTAGTAGAGCTCTGATTCATCAAAGAGCCCAACAAATAGAAGTTTTCGGGTCAAAGTTCTGCCTGTGATTTTTTCAAACTTTTTTCATAAAAATTTGTTGATACGTGTTGGCCAAGCTACCTTCAAAACTACAAACTTAGCTGCTTCGAGACTGTTCAGGTGAGTTACATCACTATACTATGTATTACAATATATCATTGTATGTTAAGAGATATGAGAGTAGATTCGAAGGTATAATCTCTATGTGCTTGCGTGTAGTATACTTGAATTATTCATTGCTGTTATATGAAGAGTTGACGGCGGAACGGTGTTAGGCCGTGATCCTATAGACTCGTGTTGAAGACGGAACGACGATAGGCCAGGAGTCCAGACACATGTTATCGGTAGAGCGATGAAAGGTCGTGAACCATTATTTGTATGCATGTATATGTATTGTGATATATGGTATCTTGGGGAACTCGCTAAACTTCGGCTTAAAGTTGTTGAATAACTTAATTTTTCAAGTTGCTCTTATGATCGTGGGAAGGCTCCACTATGACTGTACTCGCATTGAATAAATTAATAATGTTGTAGACTTCCGCTAAAAACTCTTTTTAATGAATATATGACAATGAGCTTGTAATGATAATGGGATGTTGAATTTATGTTCTATATATTGTTAAAAAATGGAAATTTTGTGTTAAAATGTGGACGTAATGTAACACCCGAAATCTTGAAGAGAAATTGTTGAGAATAAGCTTTATTTGAGTTGAACTCGGCGAGTTGGAGGGGACAACTCGGTGAGTTTATGATGAAAGATTCGCGAGATTAAATGAGCCAACTCGACGAGTTGAGGTGCCTTAACTCGGCGAGTTGGTGGCTGGGAAGGAAACCCTAATTTTAGGGTGTTGCACGCTATTTAAAGGCCTTAAGCTCCTTTAGCTTGCCTCCTTCACAACCTCCATTGTTGTTAAAACCCTAAATCGAGTGTAGCATCCATTGTCAAACATTTGAGCCTTAGATGAAGTTTGGTGGTCATTTTGGGAATTATGAAGGAGTTAGAAGACCTTGAAGTTCTAAGCTTGGAGAAGGAAGTCTTGGATCCCGAATATTTACCCATTTGGCAAGGAGTTTGAGGTATAAAGTTCTTATCTTGATGGCTAGATGCTTAGATCTCTCTTTTGGGTTAATTTGTTATGCTTTAGCCATGGGTTGGATAAATGTTTGGATTAGGACGTCCCAAAGCATTATTTTTTCAGATTTGGGGTTATCATGGACTCTTTTGGCATAAAGGTGTCAACTTTATGGATTTAAGGACTTCTTGTGTGCATTAAGTCTCTTATTAAGCCCTTCTTGAGCTTTTGAGTTTCTCCTAGTGTCACAACTAGCAAATTTGGGTTAGGAAGTTGGCCCTTGTACAAGAAAAAACTCTTTGTGTAATCTTGTAATATTTCATTTAGTGAAATTCAAACGTCAATGATATTAAGTTCATACTTGCGTACATTGTCATTCAAGTCGAAGCAACCACGTGAATACCCAAAAACTCGATCCAATAAGCCAAATCCAATCATTTTTGGACCTTAGCCCAAGAACTTTCGACCCAAATCCCTTATTGGACCAAGACATCCTTATTGGGCCTTATTGGGCCGATAACTACTCCTTTTGGTCTTGTTGGGCCGATGCCACACCCCCAAACCAGAACAGCGAAAACATTCGGGGGCGGAGGACGTCATGTAAGTATCACAACACATGCATTGTAGTAATCAAAGTACAAACAACCATTACATTAATAAGTATACGTTTTACATAAGTGTTTAAACATTACATATTCAAACATCAAAGTAGATACAGTAGAAGACAAGAGTCGCAGTACGGTACTAGGCAGTCTTCTCAAAAGTTTCGGGAGTATACCTGTCTACTAGTGTCCTGAGAATACAAGTAGGTTTTGAAAGAGTATCAACATAACGCTGGTGAGTTCATAAGCATTTTGTTTTAGAAAACTGTTCTTTGTTCTT